ACCATTTGTAAACGCGAATCAGATATAAGTCTTTCCATAATGAAATGCCAAAGAATATTGAACAAAAATTACACGGCAGCTTGATACGACTCACTCGTAATCTGCCAAGAAGGGTATTAAAAAAATATCTCTACTTGGAACACCCGTTTTATGTAGTTCGAGACGCCCGCATCCACGTTATAATTGCGTTATCTTTCTTAGTTTTTGTATAGAATTCTATTTTTGCTTACGCTAAGGTGAGTTCACTTTCGTAAAGTGAAATAAATGAAATGTCCTGGTGCTTTCACCTTATTAGCTTATCCTAAAATAGACATTTTTGACAGACCAGAGCTACTTCCGACAATCACACATTCATTCAAACAGTCAATCAAGTTGATACAGCTACTTCATTAACTAAGAGACTTGAATGTTCATAGCCAATAGATAAATGTATGTGTGTATATATATACATATATTTAAATATACACGTGTGTACTTTTTATGTGCAACGAGGTGCTATTGCGCGCAGATCTCTCATGCGACCAGCCAAAAACTCTATGCCATTGGTGTAAAATAAAATATTTTATTGTCTCTTTGGGAACGTGAGGGGAGTTTGTTCTCTCTATAAAATTTTGAATTTAGCAGCGGTCAGATGCGTTTATTATCGGAGCTCTCTAGCGAGAATATTTAAACGGAAACGATGAAGTATATGCGTACTATTTCAAATTGGTCCTTCCTAAAAAATAATAAAGTTGCTAAATTATTTGAAATAGTAGAATAGAACTGCAACCAAACACAAAGTGCAATGGATTATAACTGGCTCTGTAATTAGTCGATGCATATTATACCACCTGCATCCCAAAAGACTGACGTCATAACATCGCCAGAAGATTTTTTCGTTTTTCCGCGCTTGAGGACCGGTTCATCATGTGTAGTCCTCTAATAGAATGTCTATCAATTGCACTTGAGTGTAAAATGATGGAGTCGTATTTCTATTGTCACACATTGACGCTAAAATTCGGTTTTAGTACGATTAAAGAGCACTCAAACACTCCTCAGAGTCATTAATTCGTTGTTTTTGTTAGATTATCAACTTGCGAGGCACCCACTTTGCACAGAGCTTTCGCCACTTTAGGGCGTCCACTGCCTTCATTGTCCTCGGTGTTCAATTCGCCAATTTCCAACTTAGCAAATCTCTTTCGAATGGTTGATCTCCCTGCCGTAGAGCCCAAATTCAACAGCATTTTCCACCAAAAAGCAATGCTTTATTAGCACACGGAATGTTTATGATCCATTTTTTGTAAAGTAACACAAGTTTCTTCACAAAAATTGCTACATCTCATTAACTAATAGTAGTAGTATTATCTATGGGTCACCAATAGTAAAGCGTGGACGGGTCCTCTAGTTTGTGAATATTCTAAAACAATATGTTTACCAGAATTTAAAAAGATTTTTTATTATTATTTTAAATTCGAATTATAATATTATTTCGGAGTGTTATTTTATTTCAGGGGATATCTCCCGTTTTAAAAATTTCTCAAAAATTTTATATCATTTTTAAAACTAAAAACTCATTTTTGGAATTTTTACTTTGCCTTTTTTATGTTTAAAATATTTTTTTAATGTTAATTCCAACAGATTCATTCTTTTTATATTCTACAAATGAAACATCAATGAAATTATCAGAATCGAACTTTGCAAAAATAGCACCCTCATGGTGCCTCATTTTACGTTCAAAAATTGTCAAAATCGGACCATAACTTTTGAAGAACACAGACGCCAAATATGTGGACCTCAGTGCATAAGGCTGGTTTTTTACCGAATATTGAATATATTGAAATTCGAGAAGAATATTTTCGTCATGACAGCTTGCCATTGTATCGAAAATGGGTAAATTTGGGTCAATATATGCCCTAACCACCATATAACCAATATAAATATTTTCGAGCGCACGATTGACTTTAACGAAGTTCGAAACGGCTGAAATCAGGCCAATATTTCCTCTGATTCCCCTATACCAAGTATATGGATTTCCAAACATCCGCTTGACTATATATTTTATATGTGTATTGGTCAGCCTGTAAGGTTCTTAATGAAATTTAGAGTGTAACTATTTCTGTTAAACACATATACACATATCGTAAAACCAGAATCGGATGAAATCAGGTCAAAATTTTAATTGATTGATCTTATTATCAATATTTCGGATCTGAAAAATGTAATAATGATACACAAGTTAGTGTGTTGGCGATTTCGTCGAACACTGAATGTTGAGTTCTTGTGAAACATTTTTTTTATAACCCTTGATCTAAGTAAAGAGATATTTTTCAATAGTATCCTTTTGACAGATCACACGTGTGTCGTGTCAAGCTGTCATGTTATTTTTGTTCAGTATTCTTTGGTATTTTTATGAAAAGATTTACGCCTGAAAAACGTTTAAAATTCATGTACTGTAAGGAAATTATGTTCAACATATTCGGCCTAATGAAAGTACTTTTCGCAACCCCATCACCCATCCTTAGACCCAGCATTCATTATTAGGTAATATACCGACCGAAAAGACCACGTCCTGTGCGCAGTGGGGAATATATGGCAACCTTAACTAAGAGTGTACACGAACCACGTGGAGAGTCGATACGGCGCCGTTTGCAGCAACTCGAACTGATGTATGGAACGACTTGGCGCGTTTTACGTCGAGATCTTAAATCGAAAACGTATGGGTTGCAGCTTGTGCAAAAACTGAATCCCCTCAACCTTCTCAAGAAACATCCATTAGCTCTGTGGGCTCTTAAAAAGTTCCAAGAAGACCCGAAGTTTTCCGGATAAATTTTGTTCAGCCCATTTCTGGCTCAATGGGTATGTAAACAAACAAGCATTTGTAACGAAGAGCAACCCGAAGATATTCAAGAGCTGCCGTTTCGTCCAGAATAAACAACAGTTTGGTGTGATTTGTGGGCCGGTGGAATCCTAGATGCACATTTCTTCAAAAAATTTTGCCGGTGAGAACGTAATCGTCAATAACGACCGTTATCGCACAATGATAACCAACTATTTGATGCCTTAAATTGAAGCTCGTGATCTCGGCGACATTTGGTTTCAACAAGACGCGGCCACTTCCCACACATCGCATCAATGAATGGAGAGAAGACTGGGGTGAGCAGATAATTTCACGTTTCTGTCCGTCCGATTGGCCATTAGACTTCCTGTGTTTTAAGTGTAAAGTCAATGCGAACAATTTCGCTTCGAGTCAGGCCTTGAAGAAAAACATCACGCTTGTCATTCGGTATGTACCAGTCGAAATGATCGAACGAGTCATCAAAAATTGAGCCCTACGGATGAGCCATTTGAAAAGTACTGACTGGGGCGACATTTAAAAGAGATAAACTTCAAAAAATAAATGCCAAAAAATGTTCTTTTGAATGATAATAAACATTTCATCTTTGTTACTTGTTTAAACTTTCGACTGTTTGAAAGAAAATTTCGAACAAATTTTGATGTATCCTCACTGTTCTTTTCATCAAAGATCATCAAAAATCTTGAATAACTAAGGGCATTACTGCGCCAGCACACAAGGTGTTTTACTACTCATCCCATGAATCAGCGTTGCTCGGATAATGAAGCAAATACACAGTAAACACCGAGCATCAGTCGCCAAAGCAATAGCGGACCACTTACTCAGTCACGTTGGCTTTCGATGTTTGAGTCATAAGCGCTTAATTGTTATATTGCTTTACTGCAATCGAAATATTTTGGCAACCAACCAGGAAAATAATGGAGCAAGCGAGGCGGTGAGTTGTGGCTACAGCGAAGAAGTAATCAGCAGTCGAGGCAACACAGTAACGGATTATGTGATCAGTCGTCGTCGTATTTCTAATTAGTTCAAACAATTCGTACTGTGTTGCTGCGTCGACAGCCACCACACCAACAACTGCCGAACAGGTGTATCAATGTATGTGTAAGATACTTCTATTGGCTATTGTGTTTTGCGTAAAATCCAATTATGTAACAATCAGAAGCCAACAGACCAAAAACAATTAAATTTGTTTTGCCGTCCATTGTACGGCGCCTACACGTGCTCAGGATATGTCCGTCTCAAGGTGAATCAAAAAACTTATTTTTCTTATCGACATGCAATGAAAATATTTACATACGCAACGAATGGCTATAAAACAACGGAATTCAGTAATTCACACGAGTAGTTGTCGTAGAAACAATCCGCAGCTCATAAGGGGCTTTCGGGCTTTCGTGCATGCAGACTAAACATACAGGTGTCGTTTTCTTCACAGTAGAACATAATCATACTAAGCTGATAGGAATGTATACACTAACATTCAATTCAGCCGGTTTGTTTAGCCATACTCGAAATCTCAAATATTTAAAGGAACTTATGCGACGCAATTTTAACCTTGGCCGCGCCATGTAAACCGACTATTTAATGCCTGAAATTGAAGCTTCTGATCTCGGCGACATTTGGTTTCAACAAGACGGCGCCACTTCTCACATATCTCACATTCGTCAATCAATTGATTTATTGAGAGAACTCTTCGGTGAGCAGATAATTTCACGTTTTGGTCCGGTCGATTGGCCAGCAAAATCGTGTGATATCACACCATTCGACTTTTTCCTGTGGGTATATGTAAAGTCTAAAGTCTATGCGGACATTTCCGCAGGCCTTGGAGCAAAACATCACGCGTGTCATTCGCCAGTTAACAGTCGTAATGCTTGAGCGAGTCATTGAAAATTGGACTCAATGGCTGTACCATCTGTGACGAAACGTGGCCAATAGTTGAAAGAAATAATTTTCAAAAAATAAATTGCAAAGAGTAAAATTTGATTTTTCTGTCTTTTGGGAACATCTACCCTAATGCACCTGTGGCTAATAACTCACATTTCAGGCATATCCTTTGTGTTCCAAAAGGCTTGATGATGATGATATTTGTTACAGTAAACACAATGATTCGCTTCTTTTAATTTTTGAAGTAATTTTCACAAAATATCGAAAACTCGTACACTTAGCGCCATCTGAACACACAGCATGAGAATACATTTTCAAAGCAACTCAATTCGGGCGCCATCTGTTGCCAAGCAATTGCAATTCTTTTAATAGCACTACTGATCTTGCCAATTGCTTATTTGGGACAGCAGATGGCGCACGTGAGGGATAATTTTATTTTTTTTAGTCGATTGGAAATTTGTGCTTATTTTGGGAAATTTTATTTTTGAATTTACACTTAGCGCGCGTCATACGTCACCGTCTTACGCTCTCTCGCTTTCTGCACTCGTCACCGCGCACTTAAATTATTTTCCAACGCCGCACCCACACATTAACATTCTTTTGACACTTTTCGCCGTGTCGGCACTACGCGTTTTCGCACACTTATTCGATTATTTGTTGACGCGCTCCGCGAAGCGGTTTTCGTTTGAAAAACACCGTTGAAAGTTTGCTCACTTTCACTGATAAGGGGATTTGTAACTTTCTTCTCTAAAGTGAACGTGTGGTAACATGGGCGATAGCTGACAACGCGCTCACAACAACATTTCGCACACAAACACACACACGCAAAACCGGACGAGGACGGAAACACATGTCCTTCGTTGGTATTTTTAAAATTTACATAAATAAACAAACAGATTTTCGAAATTTCTTTTTTCTTGCCGCTCAGCGACGCTGATCAACGACGATCACAGGCAATTGCTGAGATCAGAATATATATTTATATATATTTGTAAAGATATTTTTGCGATTATTTTATGCTTTCCACGATCTTGACACTCAAAACGCACTCACTTCACGCCCTTACACAAACACGGACACAAAGGCGGAACGCTGCGCAGCACATAGTGCAACCATATTGGTGTTGACTATTCGTCCCTCCATCGATTAATCTAGCCGTGCATTATATTCAGCGGTTATTTTTATGAAATCATGCAGTATTATTGAAAAGGCATTGTTTCAAAAACATTTCTCCACCGAACACTGAGCAGGGAAAATCGCACATCGTCGGAAATCAAGTGAAAATTTATAAATAAACCGTTTTTTCGAATAAGCTATTTTAAAAAAAAAGCCAACACAGTCGCGCGCTCACGATCCGACCATCCGCGCCAACACACAGCGTACCGCCAGTCGATCGAACGCTGCCTTGCAATGCTACGACTGTTGCCACAGCGTGTTGCCTGTGTTCACTGTTTGGTGCTGTTGCCGTTGTGAGACCGATCCTCAACTGGCGCTGATCCTCCTACAGCTGCGGGAGCTGTTGCTGCCAGCGCTACAAAGTCCGTTTCAGCATTTATTGCTGCTGATGCTTCTTCTTCTTCGGCATCTTTAAATTCTGCCTCTTCGTCTTCTATTTATTGCCGTGCTATACTCGTATTTATTGTTGCCAGCAAGCAGCTAGCTACAACAATATAGCGATGTCCGTTTGTTGTGATCGCTTAGCAGCCATTTCGTTTTTAATTTTAGAGGTAACCCCAAAATAAATACCAACCAGATCATTTCTAAGATCACCTGAATATAGACACTTGTACTAACTAGCCAATATCTTTGTAGACGAAACATAGCATGTCTATTTTCTTCTAATTATATCGCTAACGGTGAGGAGAAATGGCCAATGTATACAAAAATTATGAACCAGAAAGTTGTTGTAAAAATATAAGCTCTGCAGTATGAAATGAGGCATACAGTTGAAACGAAACGGAAGCGCATATAATAAAGACTTTATTGAAAAAGTGTGGTTCCAAGAGGCGATTCTCAGCTAATCACGACCTCCAGAGAGATCGAGAGAGTAATTCCTACAAGTAAGTATGAAGCGCTCAGGTACATTACTACTAAACTCGAAATCTCCTTTACAGACAAATTTGCGTTGAACAAAGTTTCGTATATTCTACTTCAGTTATCGAAGATCACACGACTACTTTCGAAGCTTACCGAGAGATAAAATTATTTAAATAGGACTTGAACCAAAACAGACTACGGACAGCGCCGTTTTTTTCTCAAAACTCGTACGATACAGAGTCAACGGTTTCTTTTTTCTCAAAGCTTCATATTTACTATTGGAGACTGTCTTCTTAACAGAGGACTAAAGATGTCTAAAAGACGCGTCTAATCAATGATCAAAGACTTTCAAGGCGACCTGCGGTTTTATTTATTGCACACCACTAGATAATTTGCTTAAAGTAAGACCTTCATGATCATTATTTTTATATTTATTACCTTATACTTTATTCTCTTTTTCATTCCAAGTGGCTATGGACTTGGAGAAACCTCTAAGAGAATTTTCATATAGAACTCCGGCTAATAAATGAACATTCCTCAATTGAATGTTTAGTATTCCCGGAATAGTCGAACATTTTTCGTCAGAAGATCTTTCAGTACAGATCTCAAGAACTCAATTTTGATAACGGAAATCCGTTATTAAAATAGATAATTTCAAATTTTGTTATATTGAAGAGTGGAATTCACTTTTGGTTTTAACCTTGTAACGATTTGTCGATTTATGAAGCATAAGGATAAATAAATACTTGTAACTTAAGGAAGCCAAGTTACATTTGAGATGACATTCGGGTCATCCTGAAGCCAAAAAACAAGCAAATCAACGGTCTTTTTTGGTTATACTCGAAAAACATGGTACACTAAAACAGTTCCAATGCGGTAGTTTCATAAGAACTGAAGCCGCACGACCATCCCAAACGGTATCGCTTCGATCTATGAGGTCTTAAAAAAGTTCCTTGAAGTCCGACGAAGGTTTGTTCAGCGACGAGGCCCATTTCTGGCTCAATGGGTATGTGAACAAGCAAAATTGCCGCACTTGAGACGAAGAGCAACTTGAACGTATTCAAGAGCTGTCATTTCATACAGCATCGGTTTAGTGTAGTTTGTGGACCGCTTTGAGCCGGTCAGTTGGTCACTAAGATCGTGTGTTATCATATCATATCATATCTGTTAGACTTTTTCCTGTGGGAATATGTAAAATCTAAAGTTTATGACGACAATTCTGCTTCGATTCAGGCCTTGGAGCAAAACCTCACGCGTGTTACGCGCCAGTTGACAGACAAAATACTCGAACGAGTCATCGAAAATCGAAATCGTAAATTGGACTCAACGGATGGACCATCTGGCGAAGCCGCGGCCACCATTTGAAAGAGATAATCTTCAAAAAAGGAATGCCAAAGAATGTTCTGTCGAGTGATAACAAACATACCCCATTAAATAGGTGAGGGAAGCTTTATTATACAAAACAATCCATCAAGCACATCACAACGGAAGAAATTTAAAAGTCACTTGTCATCCGCTCTCGTACATAAGCAACTCTTTAAGATCGCTTTATTATTATTACTTTTATACCCTGAACAGAGTATATTAACACCTAAAAGGAAGGGTCGGACACCCTATAAAGTATATATATAAACGATCAGTATATTAAGCAGAATCGATTTAGCCATGTCCGTCTGTACGCCTGTCTGTATCTATGCGAACTAGTCCCTCAGTTTTTAAGGTATCGTTTTGAAATTTTGTAAACATCATTTTCTCTTCAAGAAGCTGCTTATTTGTCGGAACTGCCGATATCGAACCACCATAACATATAGCTGCCATACAAACTGAACAATCGGAAGCAAAATCTTGTATGGAAAACTTTCGCATTTGACAATGTATCTTCACGAAATTTGGTATAGATTATTTTCTGAAGCAACAATGTAATGTCCGAAGAAATTGTTCAGATCGGTTAACTATAGCATATAGCTGCCATAGAAACTGAATGATCGGAATCAAATGCTTGCATGGGAAACTTCCTCATTTGACAATATATCTTTACGAAATTCGGTATGAGTTATTGTTCATATAAATAATGTAATATCGGAAGAAATTGTTCAGATCGGTTAACTATAGCATATAGCTGCCATAGAAACTGAATGATCGGAATCATTTGACGTGATATCTTCACGAAATTTTACATGGATTACTGCTTAAGGTAATAATATAATCTCCGAAAAAATTGTTCAGATTGGATTACTATAGCATATAGCTTTCATACAAACTGAACACATAGTTACTAAAAGAAATGCACCTGTGAAGGGTATATGAGGTTCGGTGCAGCCGAAGTTAAGGTTTTTTTTTTTGTTTGCTATGAAGAAGTACCTTTAGCATTGTTTTTTCACAACTGATCATGCCAACGCTCATTTTATAACTGTTAGCATTGCTCTTTCATCGAGTTGTTAGATGTCAACTTAAGACGAGTTATACTCTTCCATAAATTACAAGTTTAGCAGATTTAGACTGAATTTATTTCTCCGACATTCCCGTTATAATAACAGCAATAATTACAGAAATAGCCTACACAGCCCCCAACAACATATGGCCGGCTGCTGTATAATATTGTATTGTAAATATGTGTGGTATTTATATTGGAACAGCGCTGAGTTATATTTAGGACGCGTATTGAAAACACAATGGCAGAAACTGCTCGTAGCACTGAACTAATTTTACGAACAAAAATAATAAATTGCGACGATATAATAAAATTGTTCGTTTTGTAAGTGCGTTAGCGATCGCGATCATGATTATTATTACTCATTATATTATTTAATATGTAATTATTATACAAAATGACAATATTTTTCAAATATTGCTAATTAATATCACACAAACACCAAAAATCGCGATCCACAGGACGCCACCCACCCACCACAAAGGCGCACTTCTCTTCTGCACGATCGCGCTGCACTCCACGCTTCGTTGATTTCGAATTTAACCGACCGAAAACCGACAGGCATCTCGTACACACGTACGAATGTGATTTGTGCGCTTCCTGCGATTCCGCTAACTGATCGTGTCGGACGCACGTTCGTACGGCCACTCTGGCACTCAGTGCAGGCAACAAAAATTGCCGTTGCCGTTTTTGCCGGCAGCACTTGTATACGCAATGCCGTTATACGAGTATGCTCAAAATAAATTGGTAAATATAGTACAATATTTATAAATTGAGAAAGCAATGAAGTCTGGCATTGCATGTTTGGGGTGGCGATAGCGAAGGAACAATGAAAAGAAATCTTATGCCAAAACTTGTTTGTTTGTTTGTTTGTGTGTAGCGTCGAAAGACTCGTAGAGGAACAACTAGGAAGCTGTTTGAGTTCAAAATAAGAAGGGTAGAGGAAGGAGCAAAAGTGTTTAAGTGTTTTGGGACACGTAGGCCGTCGAAATATGAGATATACATAGATCCAATAAAAACAGTTTAGTTTCGGTCCCTCATTAATAAAGTTGTTGTTGTTGTGGTTGTAGCAGCGGAGTTCTGCCGAGTTGACCGTATAAAAAATCCGTGTTCGTTCCGGTTACGTAGACCTGACTGTCATGGAAATAGTTCCCACAACATCACTCCATAGTCCCTGAAAGGCCAGTTGACTCCAGTCAACTAAATAAATAGTCCTTGAGAGCGTTGAAATGGCCATCGATCCGACCTCGGTCTCCGCGGCCTTGATTTCATTGCAGCATATGATTAGATTTGTAAATGAACTTCAAGTTCTGAAGTCGAATGAGAGTCAGAGTCGAATAGAGATCTATAGCCTTATCAAGTCTGAGTCAGAGAGCAACAGTGCGGGAATAATGTGAAAAACTAGGTCTCTCTGCACAAGTTATCAGGTAAAATATAGGGTGGACTTGGTGAAACACTTTCTATTAAATCGAGTTAAATGTTAGCGAGCAGAACTTTCTGGTACTGCAAATCTTTCTTACCCATGTTCTTGCTTATATTTTCGTCTATGATTCGGAACATCAAGCCAAAGAAATTATGTAAGCGGCCACACTGCAGACATATTCAGAACAACAACTTTATTAATTCCCTTTGCCACGCATTACAGTGACAGCTTCGCCAACGGTAGGTCTGGAATCTGCCTCCAATTCTAGTACACCTTTTAGAAGTGAAGAAGTGAAGTCTTGAAGCGACCGTGTTGGTTCCTGCGATTGAAACTAATGCATTTCTTTGCTATTCAACATCTCAAGTATATCAAAACCGTCACTAGAACACTAAGAACACTAAGTTCAACAATCCAAAAGTTGCTTGCTCCATATGGTGAGAGGTATGGAATGGCAACGGTATAAGACCTGCAAAACATAGAGAAATGTAGGCTGGACTTGTTGTGGCTCGCAATTTAATATTATACTCTCTCTGTGGATCAGCGAAATCAATCTTAGTATTAGTAAACCGCAGTAGATCATCAAAATCATTCTCAATATTTGAAAATCTCTGTGGATCCTCGAAATCAATCTTAGTAACGGAAAATTCAGATGGGTCCAATTGAGAAGCTAGTTGGAAGGATCTGAGAGTATCACGTATCCTTCAGTTTCGGTAGACGTTAGAATTTCATTTCGCTGAATCTCGCATCCCATAACCAAAAAAAAGGCGTTCGAGCTCAAAAAAGAAGACAAGTTAAAAAAATGTGTCGAAGCGTTCCTTGATAGTTTCCAATTTAACCATAAGCCTCAGGACTTACCTCATGAAATAAATGCTTATTAATTTATTTTTTGCACTTTCACCAATTTTATGTTATTTCGAGGTCCACGGCATTCATTAGCTCGGTGTACACCCCCACATGCAGGATTTTGATAATAAGCAGATTTCTTTTTGGATAGCTGATGCTTTGCTCAGCAAAATTATAAATAACTCCTAAGTGAATTCCGCATGAACCGCATGAACAAGCAGCGGAAGAAGAGGTAGAAGAAGCAGCATGAGCAGCAGTAGCCGAAGAATTTAAGAAGTAAAGTGAAATAAAGCGACTCATATTGATGTTTCCAATGTGCTAAAATTAAATTGTTCGAATAAATAAAAACGCACACGCAGTGGGAAGCTGGTAATAATGGCGACGATCGTTGGGCAGAGGTTCGAGGTGTAATGGTAATTTCGTGGCGTGGATTCTATGGCAACGAATATTAATAAATATACTAAGTACGAATATGTATTTGAATCGGAGATACCCTGTACGAAATTATTCATTGAAGAATCGGTTTCTAAATTTAACGGTAAATGAGTATTGCTAGCGGTAAAAGCTAATTAGAATACACTTCAAATAATTATTATCAGATTGATTGATTTCACCTTAGCAAAAAGGAAGTTAGAATAGAGACATATGTACATCATGTGTGATCCAAGTAGAGATATTTTTTCAATAGAACTTAAAGTGAAAGCGTGCAAAATACAGCTTGTGCAAAATCTGAAGCCGCTCAGCCTCCCCAAGCGATATCGCTCCGCTGTTGAAAAATTGCAAGAACATCCGACATTTTCAAGTCAAATTAGCAATTATCCGTCTGAAGAACAACAAAGCGGGGTTAGGGGAAAAACTGTTCAGCGAATTAAAAGACAGCGGGCACGCTGGCTAAATCATGTCAACCGAATGGACGAAAACACTTCAGTTCTGAAAGTTTCCGACGCAGTTCGGAAGCAGAGAAAGAGAAAGACCTCCACTCCGTTGGAAATACCAGGTGGAGATGGACCTGGCTTCGCTTGGAATCTCCATTTGGCGCCACATAGCACAAAGGAGAAACGACTGGCGCACTGTTGTTAACTCGGCTATAACCGGTAAGCGTGTCTACACCAGTAAAGAAGAAGTATCTTCAAAAGTTAACTGCTAAAGAACGTTCTTTACAATGAAAAAAAAAATTCTCCATTAAATTTAAAGATTCTTGTCGTTTTCTTTAAAAAGTGGGGAGCCTCGTAATGAATCACCCTTTATTTCTGATTACCGATCTAAAATTTTAATCTCCCACATTTAATTATAATGTTTAGTTCAATAGATCCTTCAAATATTTTTT